CAGGGGTTTAAATAGTGACTAGAACAGGTGAGGAGAGTTGTGCTGATGAGGGAGAGTGTGACTGGCAGGTGCACTGAATGAACTGATTTGGGACAGGTGAAGGAAGTGAGGAGCTACAGAAAACCACACACAAAACACCCAAGGCAAAGCCTGATTGTGACAGTGGGGACATCGACTAAACCTAATTTATCGTCTTTAGAGTCCAAAATAATTTCACATGTAAATAACACATTTGTATACTTTTTTTCTCTGTGAAACATCAATATAACAGGTATGTATACATAGATGTAATTAGAGAACAAAATGTATATTCATACAGATGCATTGATCAAAGGTTCTGCATGTGACAGTATGTTTGTATGCAGAAGAGGAGGAAAACGAAAAGAAGAAGTAAAGTTACATCACATCTCCTCTTTCCTCATGTAAGCTTGTATGACTTCAAATTTCCACTTGTCTCAGAATTTCATTTAAATCATCTTCCTTTATTTAGTGTTCTTGTCATGCTCTCACCTGACCCTGAACAGTGTACTTTGAGTTGTTGCTGTCGGTAAGTTAAGTGTGTTTGGATTGAAACTTGGATGGTGGAAAAATCAAAGTGTAGAAATGATGTGAAAGTTGAAGATAATTCAGTGGACTCAAGAACAGGAAGAGAACTCCCACTCACTTAGAAAGCCTGCTGCCCCCAAGTGGCCAGAGATATGACTAAATGAAGCTTTACTTACTTACTTTGTTCCCTGTGGAATGTACAAAGGTCAGATATAAAGATACCTGGCTCACACGGTCTCATTTGCACACAATATGTTGCATTATTTCATGGACTGATGTCAAGCAGTTACGCTTATAAATGTAGCCCATCAATCAGTTTTTCAAACATTCAACCCTCCACTAATGTTGCCATTATTTCAGAAGAAGAGTGCACTGATACCCAAGATAACGTCACCACGATGAACAAATCAATCCTCAAACTGCTTCAAAGAACCAAATCAGCTGCATTCAAACTAACAGGATTGGCCTTTATACATTACATCTCTTGCACAATGACTTCCTATATTTGACAAATGATTTATCTGTTTTAGCTCTTAAATAAACAAGCAAATGTATAAATGTGAATTGTAGTCCACTATCTGATGTGCAGGGCACTGTTCTGTGTGTGTATCCATATTAGACGGCTAAGAATTTGACGTGAGTCTGGACGTTTTGGTTCTTTGAAGTTGTCTTACTTTATATCTGGAACTATTGTCAGAACGGCCAAGTCTGCCAAAAAAGTGCAGGCTCATTGATAGTTAGCTGGATCATGACTCACACCGCTTACCTCACAAGTCATTATTGAAGCGGGTTCTGGTCTCAGGTCTGCAGCTTGAGGATTGATTTCTTTATCCTAAATGATCTTATCTTGCACTCTTAATGTGAAATAAATGCAACATGAGTAGAGACATGAAACTTTGATCAGCATCCATATTATTGGTTGAATGCAGATCATGTGATTGCAGTTACATGAGGTAGGTGTGTTGGGAAATAAAGCATAATGAGATGAATTGACATTTCATTTTACGTGTGTTCTGCATTATTCTGAGGGCCATTTGGTCCTATTATCCTACATGACGCTCCACAGCGTTTCCACTCTGTTAAAGATGATATATTACCAATGAACAGTCAGACTCTGAGGGATAAGAGTGCATGATTGGTGGGATTCTCCCAAATGAACAAGCAAGATAGTATTATAATATGTAGTATATAACCATGACCCTTCTATATTAAAAAGAAACCTTACTTACACCAAAGTGAGGTCTGTATATAAATCTTCATTATGAAAAAATAGATAACACCAACAAATTCTAATCATTTCTCAATAAACTGCACTGTGGTGTAAGGTAGTTACAATGGGCCCCAGTGCACAGTATGATGACGGGCACTAGTGCAGCCTAGTTACCACACACACACACACACACACACACACCATTGTATCGGCTTGTCACGTGATCAAATAGAGATTTTACGTTGGACATGATGAACATACATCATCATACAAAGTTATCTAAATCTACAATCTGAAATTTGTGTATTTTTCTCAAAATGTGGCTTAAAGTCACTGTAAGGGACTTTTAACTGGTCCTGAACCAGTCTCAGTCCTGTCCAGTCCTGATCCTCTACCTTCATCAGTAAACAAGACCATCAGAGAGAAGATGGTCTATTTCTATAAGTTGTTCTTAATGTTTGTCATCGGTGCCACCGGGTCGAATCCTGGTGAAATCAGATGAACTCATGCAGGTTCACCAGAAACTCCTTCAGCTCAGGCTCCAGCTACAGCAGAGACCGGTCCATCGTGGAGAGACCCAGATCCGGCTTCACCGCAGCCTTGGACCTGCAGTCAGACGCTCTGGCGGGGAGAGGAGAGCTCAGCGTCTCCTCCTCCTCCAGAACTAGAGCTTCACCTCAGAAGGGACAGGAGAACCAGAACCAAGACTGCGAGGGCCAGACTGTCAGACCCTGCTGCAGTAAAATGAGTGCTTTTCTAAGGGGAATCTGGTTCTTGGAAACACTACCACTTTCATCCACAGGGACCGCCAAAATCAACATCAAATGAAAGCTCCTCGTACAGTAACTTTAAGTAATTCAGGCTTTAAAACGTTCAATGTTTATTCTCATGCAGCTTAGGTTTTTTGTTGTATTATTCCGGGATGAAGTTATTTTGAATAATGATGTTACTATGATCGGTTAGTGTAATTATCACAAATATACCTTATTAATAAGATAAAATAAGATAATCCTTTATTAGTCACGCAATGGGGAAATGTACAGGATTACAGCAGCATATAGTACGGTGCACACAAGAGACAGTAAAAACAAGATCAAAACAAGTATTATAAATAAGTAAATAAGTAATAAAACAGAATATGAACTAAGTAAAAAAATAAAACATCCACAATAACTAAAATATTATATATACAGACAGAATCATTTTTGTATTGCACAGTGTATTTATATTGCACAGATTTTTAGTGTTGGGAGCAGAGCCTGTTGTGCAGGCTGACAGCAGCAGGAAGGAAGGACCTGCTGTACCTCTCCTTCACACACCACACATATATATATATATATATATATATATATATATATATATATATATATATATATATATATACAACAGTTCATCAGTATCAACAACTGCACCTCCACCACTGCTCCTCTGTCTCAAGGCGTCCCCCAGGGTTCGGTGCTTGGTCCTCTTCTGGTCATCCTCTACTTGCTCCCTCTTGGTAACATCATCCGTCAACATGGTCTTCACTTTCACTGCTACGCCGATGATGTCCAGCTCTACATCTCCACAAAGGCCATTACCACTGCTACTCACTCCACTCTCACCAGCTGCATCACTGACATTAAATCATGGATGCAAACCAACTTCCTCAAACTGAACTGTGATAAATCTGATATGATCATCATCGGTCCCACATCCCTCACCAAAACCAGTCACAACTTCTGCCTCACCATCGACAACTCCACTCTGTCTCCCTCCCCACACATCCGCAACCTCGGAGTCATGTTCTACAGCAACCTGTCCTTTGAACACCACGTAAAACAAATCAGCAGAACTGCCTTTTTCCACTTAAAAAACATAGCCCGTCTCCGCCCATCACTCTCCTCATCTGCTGCTGAAACTCTGATATATAAATATATATATCTCAAAATATAGTTTGAGATACTGAGCAAAAACACAATGTATGGCATGGTCCTGATCCAGTCGTCATTAAGCTGCATCTTGAGGATCTGGTGTTCTGACAACAGTTCCAAATGAATCTTTAACATGCTTCGAGGATCAAAGAAAGCCAGACTAATGTCAAATCGTCAACACTCTAATCTGGATCAATCAGTCATCCATGTAGGAACAACGCTGCAAGGCCAGCTCTTGAATCTTGCCCGTAATGTTTAAGTGTGCTAATGTTTGTTTAGCTTGTTCCATCTGTTTAGTGTGTGTATGTATCTTTCTGTACATGTGTTATCTGCACTATGTAGGCCGAAGTTTATTAAAAGCCACTGAGAAGTGGAGTCAAGCTCCTTGTGTCACCATGCTTGGCTATTTACTGTAAATTGCTTCTGATACAGTGTTATAGGAGGCTCATTTATTACACGCGTTACTCTCATTGACCACCAGATGTCGCTCTGGTGTCATTTTCTCTCACTGTGCCCTCTGGAGTATGTGGGTGAGGAGGAGTTAACGGTTGAGTTTAATGTCAGAAGATCTCGCACCAAGAGGGTTCATTACTGTCACTAGTCAGAACACTTGTTTTATTTGCCACCAGCTCGTCGCCGAACATTTTGCAGTTTTAATGTCGTAATTGTGAATCAGAAATGTTCCTAAAAGATATTTTAAGTCTATTTTATTTAATGTTTATTTAATGTCGGTATACCACAAAAGTAAACCATGAAGCAGCAGACTTGCTTTCTCTTCCGAAACCTGTAAAGTTGTCCTCTGTCTCTGCATCTCTCTGGTTACATAATAAATACAGAATATCAGGCCACGACGGGAAGGGAAGCCGGTTTACATCCACGGTTTAGTCCGCATATGTCCTTAGTTTAGTTCATCCTTAGATGTACCCCCTTCATCTACAGGGCTCTTATTGCTGCTGTGATCTGTGTTCATACCGGACAGCTCCTAAAGCTTCTATCGGGGAGGATACCTGCTCCACACCGGAAAGCCTCTCAGCTGCTGCGGAGGTATAAATGAGTTTAATGCGTTTGATAGCAACTAAATGTGTGTTATTTATATATACTTTAGTCAATTCAAATGAGTCTATTTTACAGGTCTTAGATTTATTTCATAATAATGATTTCTGCTCTGTCCTAACATAATCTAATATAGATTAAGGCGCAACACTACAACGTAATAACCTGGATTTGCGCGTCTATGTATTGCATTTTAACGGAATCATTATTTTTACATTTTATTCCGATTTGGTTGGTATATTTCGCTGCTGTTATTCTGTGTCCTTTATGTGCATCCTCCCTGCAGACAGTGACACCAAAGATGATTTGAGATTAAATCTTAATCTGCAGTAAAAGGAAAACTGTGGAAATCAGAAATAGTCTCTAAATCTCAGCCCTGCTTCCATGTGAGGGGCTGACCGACTGACACAATCTTCATCCAGAAACAGCTCTTATCCGTGTGTGTGTGTGTGTGTGTGTGTGTGTGGCCTTCACGGTAATCAGCAGCACTTTATAGAAAAACCGTATTCGTAGTTCCAGCAACGGCAGGAAGAAACGCTTCCTATTGAAATGTCTGACCGTGTGTTGATATTAGGAGTTTGGTCTCTTAGCTTGATTATTATGTTGATAAATAGATGAGTGGTTTACAACAAAATAATTATAGAATGAATAAACACATACAGGGAGAAACAATTAGCAATAGCCACGATACACAAAACACAAAAACAAAGTATTCCTCCTGATGACCCGCTGTAACACAGACTTCTACTGTAAACACGATCACAGACACTTTCAATAACTGGACTATTATGGAATTATGATGAATTGTATAGTGACATAAAAGGTCAATAAATCATCTTACAAGGTACGCAGACTTAATCAGTGAATGCCAGATATGATATGAATTGATTATTGTTTTTAGAATGATGATGAATTTCCTAATATAGACAACAGAGGTATTTGTCTGTTCTTGGTGGAAGGCCTCCAGTTTCACATTAAAAAAAACAAATAACACAAGTTATGAATTATAAATTACGAATTACAATAATGAAGTTGTCCCTTCAGTCTTCTCTTTGTTGCAGGCTGCACAGCGACATTAACACATTGAAAACGCTCCTCTGCTGCGCGTCTGTTACGTTGCATTTATTATTCCATCGGCCCTCTTTGCGCGCACTTTGATGAAGTGCTTGGCGCGGTGATGGTGACAGAGGCTTTGAGTCGCTTTTCTCCCGCAGCCAGGTGATGAAGATCCGGCTGATCAGGCGGAATACAGAGTAATTAAAAGCTATAAATTATCCGCCGGCAGCTTCTTTCTCACAGGGCGAGATAAGAGCGCGCTTCTCTGGTGCTTGGACTGGAAAACAATACTGGCTGACAATGGTGGTTGTACTTCAGAGAAGAAGAGACAGAGGAGATGGGTGTGTGCATCAAACATGCAGGTGCCCGTTAAATGACGCATTTGAAGGTATACAAGCTGGACAATTTAATTTGGATAATGTGTGGGACATAGATGCCTTGTGTTGGCTGGTTCGCAGCTGTAGGCCTACTCTCCAATATGGCACCTTGTGTTTGTTGTGCCCGCGTGCTTGTGTGTGAGAGATAAGCTAAATATGTCCTGTAAACCAACTATGCACTATAAGCCACATAAAAGCATAATTCTGAAAGATGTCTGCAGGACGCTTAAATTTGTATCGTTTCACGAAAAATGCCAAATTCAGGAATCAAATATAGCCTGAATTCGTCCGTCCCACCGTGTCCGTCCAGTTAAAAGTAAACTTCTTGGAGGTGAGCAGTTGTGAAGACAGCAACGGGGCTGTGTGTGTGAGGGTGTAACTCTCCTCCTGCTATCCCTCAGCTGTATAAGATGTAACAGATAAGGCACGGAGCACTTCTAATCTCTTGTTTGGGTCGCTGGTGAAGTCTGTACTCTGCTCCACAGTTCCCCTCTTCAGTCAGAGACGCCTAACATCATTGGACGTCGTCACCCCCTGTCCTAAAGTGTTCCGGTCGGTGATTGGCGCGCTGCGTTTTGGACGTTACATGCACCTCCGGTTGGTGTGTGTGAGTTTATATGAGTGTGTGTATATGCGCATGGTGATGTGATGTACGGACTTTGTGAAGACCTGACTGTCATACAGCGGTGAAAATCTATGGGAGTGTGAGAGCAGTGCGCAGTAGCATCCATTGCCACTTTTATAGTAAGGCACCGACCATGACGCGCCGGAGCGCCTTTACGCAAGCAGGATGTCCACAGTTTGCGAATAATCACACAAACCAGCAATATTTCGGAGAGAAAATAACTATGTTTTAGTGCCTCCTTTTGTCATATTTTGGATACAAACAGGCCAACAAAGTGGAAGTGGATTGAGAGAACAGAGGACACGTTCTTCACAAAAGCAGCGATGGAGGAGCAGCGGGATCTGAACAGCACAGACAGCAGTGAGGGAGAGAGCGTCTCCCCGTCTCCCAGCCTGCCTTCGCCGCCCATACTGCCTCTGCAGGTCGCCCAGCAGGCCCACAGAACCACCAACTTTTTCATCGACAACATTTTACGGCCCGACTTTGGCTGCAAGAAGGAGCACGGCCGGGGCCCTCGGGAGAGGGCGCAGACCTCAGGCCGGGAACGCGTACACCCGGCGGTAAGCAGGCCGAGCCTTCCCGGGACTCCGTGCCAGGACTCAAATTGCAGCAGTGACAGCACTTCGTCCTCCGCCTCTTCCGCCTCTTTGGCCAGTCCCAAAAAGAGTAACGGCAGCTGTGGAGGAACCGCAGCCGCCCCCACCGAGAGCAGCGGCGTGAAAGCCGAGGAGAGAACTGGCGGCGGGGCCGGGGAGAACACGTCCTCCTCGCTGGTGGTGCTGAACGGAACCGGGGCGTCCACACCGGAGAGCCAGCCCTTGCTCTGGCCTGCCTGGGTCTACTGCACCCGGTACTCGGACAGGCCCTCATCTGGTAAGGCAATAGTTTCACGAAGAAAACCAACTCTAAGCGTGCAATTCTGTTCGTTTATTTATAATGGAGGAATAACATCAATCTTTATCACATACATTGTAATCCTTCTTTTTCTGACATAAACACCAAGTTACATTTATCCTACATGCAGCAAGTTTCTTTCAGACGATCAAGATAGTTTTTTTTGAAGAAAATAAAGCTCAAAATAATATTTTAGACAACATGGTGTTTTAAATGAAAAGCGTTTAATAACGTGTTGATGTTGTCAGTTAGTTATTAGTTTATTTCACTATTACAATCCCAAATGAGATGGGTGGCAATATATTAGATCAGCTAGATTAAATATATTATTTTAAACAAAAATAAATATTTTATATTTTATATTTTATCTTGTTGGACCAGACCAAGACTAACAAGTACACGACGATACTTTAGCCTGCGTGCTGTGCACACATTTACAGATTGAAAACATAAAGGTTATGTTTTTCCACCTTCTTTATGAATTTGTATTTTGTTTTATTTTATTAAATGTTATTTTATTTTATGAAATGTTACTTTACTTTACTTTATTTTATGCGATTTTACTTTATTTTATTTTATTCTATGTAGGTGTCTCTTTAAATGTATCCGTGTATTTGCTAAATAAAACTAAAGTAAAACAAAACCAATAAGTAGTCCAGCTCTAGATCTTGTTTATGTTTTATAGGTTTTAAATAGAGACGAGAGAGCACGTGCAGGTGAGATTTTGAAGATGAAGCTGCAGGTGGAGTCAGATTATGTGTCATTCAGTTGTCTGATTTGTTGAATAACTCCACTGTCTTTGAGACACAATCTGTTGTCACATTTCCATATGCAGCTGGCCAGCATCCTCCTGGATTAGGATTGTACAGATGACAGCTACAAGCCCCGCAGTTTTTGGCGGTGTGTGACACGTTCAGGGATCGACAGCAGACCTTTTCTATCGATATTAAGCCATTTGGCCAGTGATCGCATGTGTGATCACGGTGTGTAACCTGTTGTCCTATACGAGCCGGCTGCTGTGAGATATATGAGCTACTGTCAGTAAAGCATGGCGGAATAAAACACAAAGGAATTAGCCGTTAATAGTGGCTATCCGCCCTCCCTGTCGCCGCTACAGGAGACATTTTGAATCCATTAACTGCCTGTTTGATTGCGTCTGATTTCAGCCGAAATCACTCCTAGTTTCACCAAAACACAAACACGCAGTGTGCGCTTGAACAAGGCCGACGCACGGAGCCTCCTCCGGAAACTCTTAAATGAGACTTATTGAATGGTTTTCTTTCACTTCATGATATCAAGTTATCTTTAACAACAATAAGTGATTAATCGGTTGTACTATAATTGAAGTATTTTGTTAATCTGCACGAGAATAACAAACAATTACGCCTACAAATAAATATGTGTGTAATAATAACAACACACTTAGAGGTCAATTGTAAACGAATAGCCTCACATTGTATATGTTGTATCTATGTTACATTAGGACTATTTTGTTTTTGCGTTTGTATTTTTTGTGGGCACAAGTATTGCGCATTATTAGTGAGATATTAGCTACTTCGTTCAATCTGGCTGATCTTTAACTTTCCGTTTTTATAATGAACATTTATTATTATTTGAGTGTTTTTCACGTATAAGTAAGTCTGTAAGAAAACAGTAGAAGTGTGTGTTTAATATTTTGAAAACAGTATTATGTGTCGACACTTCAAAAATGACGCAATAATTGTGTCGGGTATCGTTGTGTGCTGTGTGTGTATTGTGTATCAGACAAACAAGGGTTCGGGCTGAAAATGCAGTCAGAAGTATAACATGATCTTTATACCGAGATATGCGGAGCTATAACTCTATTATGTAATTCTAAATGTGTACAGATTCTAAAGCCCTCTGAGGCAAACTGGTGATTTGTGATTTTGGACTATACAAAATAAATTAAATTAAATTCAATTGAAAAGACAAATTCCTATTTGGGTTATTATAATATTATAATTTTTATTTCATACAAATATTGATATGATTCGTCCGATTGCCAGTAAGACAATAATAATACTACTAATAATAACAATACGTATTATTATTACTATTTATTTGTATTATTATTATCATTGTTATACCTTTCCCCATATGTTTAGGAAGTGAGCGCGATCGTCACATTCATCATATTTAGTCCATCGCACACAGGCTGCTGTTGTGTTTTTTCGTTCTATTTGTTCTCGTGAGTATTGCTCATTATTATCATTATGCGCTGAGTATTTATATTCCCGCTCTCCGGTCCTTTCGCCCCTACTGCAGGCCCAAGGACACGGAAACTGAAAAAGTCAAAAAGCGGCAAAGAGGACAAGCGGCCGCGCACGGCCTTCACGGCCGAGCAGCTGCAGAGACTGAAGACGGAGTTCCAGGTGAACCGCTACATCACGGAGCAGCGGCGGCAGGCTCTGGCCCAGGAGCTGAGCCTCAACGAGTCCCAGATCAAAATCTGGTTTCAGAACAAGCGGGCAAAGATCAAAAAGGCCAGCGGCTTCAAGAACGGGCTGGCGCTGCAGCTGATGGCGCAGGGACTGTACAACCATTCCACCACCACCATCCAGGAGGACAAGGAGGAGGACAGCGACTGAGGAGCCCGGCCCGGCCGCACGGTGAGGGGGCAGGCCTGTGTGCTTCCCCCGCTCTCCTCACACTCTGTACAATGTAAATAAATGCTATATATCTAATTTAATGACGAGGACGGGGACGGAGAGCTGAGCAGATCTCGCGCGTTTTGTCAGAAGTTCTCCTCTTCTTCATCTCCGTTTCCTCCTCCTCAAAAGTGACTATACAGCAGAACAGACTGCGGACTCTTCAGACTGACCTGCCACCGCAAAACCAAAGAGATTTTATCGGAAAACAGAGCCTGGACACTTCGAGAAACAATAAAAAAGAAGCATGTTGCTGTGGTTGTGGACGGTGCTGCTGCTGGATCACACAGCGGACCTCCAGCCACACACACCATCCGAACACCGAGACCAGCCGTGGGCTTCATTACACGTTTGTTTTGTTGCTTTTCAGGACCAGCTTGACCAAGAACTGTAATAATCCCACAGTACACTTTACAGAGATGTCACACATTTGAAGTATCGAAAAGAAAAAAATACCAGGCAGGGGCTACACATACTTTAAAATCACGCGTGAGCACGAGAAACAGTTTATTAAAGGGATATTAGAGAAATACTATAAAGTCGGGGTCTTAGAATTGTGAACACTGAGGTTATTGTACCTTTTTTGAATTGGGAATTTTAACAATTTAGAGGGAGTTTATGCTCTAAAATGTGATGCTGATTCCATTTTAGACGCAAGCTATTTCAATTTGACAATTGCCAGGCCAAATTAAATATTGCATGAATAAATGATTCAGTATTGTCCCAGAATCTTGAAAAACTAAAGATTTCGACCACAGAGAACATTAATAAATAATGAACGGGGCAAATACAATTTGAAAAATCCAAATTTTAGGGGACAAATGATATCATGACATTAGTATCTCTATAATCCTGCGTACAGTCTGACTTTATTTAGTCTAAAGTATTGCTGTAAAACTAAAAAATACAAAATACAAAAGATTGTCGAAATCCATAAAAAATAGCAGAAACTATCATATTCCTACAAATTCCTGAAATGTGATTTTATGTGACTCTTTATCTAATTAGCATTCTCTCCTCATGCTGCTGTATAATATCCCTCTGGATCTACAGGATTACTGTTCACACAGGGGGGATATATACAGAAGGCGTATACTTATACACACCAAATCACAAATGGAGTATTGTGCCCCTCTGTGTACATTTCCTGGTATTGCCTTTATGTTGACAGGTAAAGCTGCAGAGGCCTGCTGGTCTGCAGACATCTGAAACACAGTATGTTAGAAGAGCAGGCGGATGTATTTAAACCATGTTTCCAAATAAACACTTTTATATTGGGAAAAAGACAAAACAAAAATCAGGTAACACAGTGAGCCATTTATTTCTGGTGGGTGACAACGAATATTCAATTAAGAAATAGAGGTGTGTGTGTGTGTGGGGG